AATGAGACTCGAAACTAAGCACGAGACTTTTGCTATACTTTAACTCACAACTTCGATTGGACAACAAGAAAACGTGAAAGTATCTTATTCTCGCGTATCTATCTGTTTGTATATTACTATATTGCATATATGTATGTACACATATACACAAAGCCTCGGACAAACTTGAAAAATCGTGATAGCGCGTTCACGTAAGACCTCTCAAATACATTTGGATGTCAATTAAAATCGCGAAATTCGTTATACAAGTAGTATAACATTTGTATATACCTTTGTCTACATATATATATAAGCGGCTCTCTTTTCCCATAAGATTTTTTTGCGTATTGATGAAATAACGATCAATATAAAATTATTCGCAATATTCTCCGCATTGTAGACACAATGGTGCGAAAATTGTTTTTCTTTATACTCTTGTGTACAATATTGAGTGTCAAAATTGTATACATGCGTACTTTTACCGCATATTTGTTTTTTTTTCGTTGCCTTATTCAATATTTCATCAATGGAGAAAAAGTATAGACGTTTTTTCTAGTTTGAAGAGAAAAAGTTTTATTTTTATTAAAATTGCACACAAAATCTGAATTAGTTGCAAATAAAATATAATGCAAATAATGGTAACTAGTTCTCTAAATCTGAATAACAGCTACTTTTGGAAGAAAGGAAGCATTTTTACTAATTTTTAGTTAGAAACTACTAATTAGTAGTAGAAAACTAATAATTTATTTGTTAAGGCTAGTAATTCATTTAGTAAATCAGGGTTGCCACAAAACATTAATTTTTTAATTAACTTTTTTCCTGATTTTTTTCCTGACCCTAAAGAATATTCTGATTCAGATTTAATTAATTAATTTAATTAATCATTATTCAATTAATCATTAATCATTATTCAATTAATCATTTAATTAATCACATTTAAAATTTAAAAAAAAAATGTAATAAATTGTGTTTTAAGAATTCAATTATTTTCATAAATAATAAAATTTTTCATAGCATTTCAATTATTTTTAATACAATTCTAAATACATTCCTCGAAAAATGGAATTATTTTCTTAAATTTTTTGCAACAATTCAATTACATTTCAAAAATAATGAAATCCATCGCTGAAATTCGAATATTTTAAAAATCTACTATTTTAATAAAAGTTCTCAAAAGAATTCAATTATTTAAAAAAAAAATGTAAAAAAAATTCGTTGCAGAAATTCAATTATTTTCAATTATTTTCATAAATAACCAAATTTTGTACAGGATTTCAATTATTTAAAAAAATTTAATAAAATTCGTTGCAAGAATTCAATTATTTTCATAAATAATCAAAATCTTCACAGGATTTGAATTATTTTTAATACAATTTTAAGTAGATTCTTTGAAAAATGTCATTATTTTCAAAATTTTTATTAAAGTTCTTCGAAAAAATTCAATTATCAATTATTTTTAAAAATTCATGATATAATGCATTTTAATATTCAACTTTTATCTAAAATTTTAACGGAAATTAAATTTTAAATCAATTTTTATTAGAAAATTCTACGAGAATTCAATTATTTAAATAAAAAAATAAATAATTTATTGAATAAAAGAATGTTTCTCAAAATTAAATTTTCATAAAGAATTTTATCAACATAATTGAATTTTTTCGACGAATTTTAATAAAATTTTCAAGAATAATTAGGGTAGGGTGGGGCATTACTATTCTTGTTTGGATTTTTGAGTCTATAAAATGTATATAAAAAAAAATAAAAAAATGAGTAGAACCGTTTGAAAGCTTGACTTCTTAGCTACAATTTTGCCATGTATCATTTTGCTGTAACTCGATTCTGTTCCGAACTACAGCGATTTTACGAAAAAAAAATTTTTTTGATGTCGAAAAAAACGAGGGGCGTAACTATTCTTGCAGCTATTAATGATATAATACTAAAAAAATATATAAATTAATTTGTTAATTGGAGGATTTTTTCTGGTTTTTTTCTTCCAATTTCTTACAATTCTAACCTAGAAACAAGCACACACAAAAAAATACACTGTTTTGTAGTTTTTGCTGTCATCAGTGGAAGAATAGTTACGCCCCATCCGCCCATTTTTTGAAAAAACACTTGTAAAATTTTTGAACAATAGAATATCAAAAATCCATTATGATATTCGTGTTCAGCACTAAATTTGACTTTAGAAATAATTTTTCCGATAATTTTTCCGACCGTTTATCACTATTTACAATGGCAGACTAAATGAGTGAAAACAAGTAAGCGAGTATATCAAAATCACATTTGGGTACCTAACTCCAATGATAGATGGCGCCAGAAGCTCAAATGTGGCGTACAATGTTCATTTCACATGACAAGTATACAGTGTAAAAAAAACTTTAATCGGATGAATAGTTTTCTCTCCAGGACAAAGAATAGTTACGCCCCGCGAATAGTAATGCCCCACCCTACCCTACATCTTTCAAAAGAAATTCGATTAAAATTGTATAAAAAGTAATTGAAATTCTATGATGAGTTTATTTGTAATAAACTCACTTTGTAAATTACTAATTAGTAAATAGAAATAATTATAGTAAATTACTAATTAGTAACTAAAAATAATTAGTAAAAAATAAGAATAATAAGTCAAATTTGTCTAATTAAATTAGTTATAAATTAATAATTAATAATAATAATTAATAATAAATAATAATAATAATTAATAATTAATAATTAATAATTAATAAATTAATTAATAATTAATAATAATAATATTAATTAATTAATTAATAAATAATAATAATAATTAATAATTAATTAGTTATAATTAGTTTAATTGAATTAGTTGCCAAATTTTTTAGATATTTTGACAAACACTAAAAGTGAATTTAACTAATTATTAGTCATTATTAACTATATGATTAGTAGGAATATTTTTGTTTAAATCAGTGATTGATTTTTCATTACCATATTTGTTATTTTTAACTAATTCAAATTAAGATAAAATAAAATAATTTAATACAATATACAATACTAATTAATTAATATTAATAATTTAGCATAATATTAATTAATTAATATTAATCAATAATTTTAATAATAATTGTTATTATTAAAATAATTTATTAAACAATATTTTAAAAATAATTTATTAATAATATTGGGTACTATTTTAAAAATACCATTTTACCCAAATGTTAAAAAAAAATTTATTTTCTTTAAATTTTGACTAATTGAAATTTTAAAAAAACTATTTTTTTTAAATTCACCAGTTTTTCTTTCGCGAGAAGAATATTTAATTGGACTAATTAATTATTTATCAGCTATTCTACACATTGACGGGGATTATATAATAATAAATATTTATATAAATATATTTCGCAGACATGATGATGATGATACCTTTTGAAATTTATGTTCGAAATCGCGTTTCGAATTTCTAAAAAAACAGTTGCGATTTACGATGCGAAACTGGTTTATGATGTTTTACGGCTCGCACATTCTCTCATTTCTCCCACCTGACACCGCACTAAACTTTGGATACTAACATCCTTTTTATTGTTTACCGGCGCCATTAAAGAAATTTCGGCAGGAAAAATTCTTCTTTTTCACCCGCCCCATAATTTAGTGTTATCCATCGACGGAAAACTAATTTTAACTAAAATATTACCACAACGCGAATAGAATTTCAAAAAAATTCTCAATTTTTGACAATTTAAATTGTTTCAATTATAAATTTTTTTAATTTCAATTATTCCAACCCCAAATTTTTACGAATTTAATTTGTTTCAATTCCAGATTTTCGCCAATTTAAATTCTTTCTATTCAAAATTTTTGCTAATTAAAATTGTTTTAATTCCAAACGTTTGACAATTTAAATTGTTTTAATTCCAATTTTTCACTAATTAAAATAGTTTAAATTCCAAATTTAATTGAAATTGGTCCAATTCTAAAATTTCGCCAATATTTAAATCGTTGCTATTCGAAATTTAATTTGACAAAAAATTCCGAATTGCAACGATTTAAATTAGGAAACGTTTAGAATTGAAACAATTTAAGTAAGCAAAAATTTGGAATTGAAAAACCTTTTATTTTGTCGAAAATTTTGAATGGAATAATTTAAATTGGTAAAAATTTTGAATAGCTTTATTTCTAAAATTGAAATTCCAAAACTTACTGTCATTTTTAAAATGACGATTCAAGAAAAACAATAAAAATGATTTTCAAGGGACGTTATAAGAATTTTATACCCGATTTCAAAATCGATAATTGTTTGTACACTTGACCGCCTTTGTTCTTGTCCTTAGAGAGAATGCATGCTCCACTTGACATAGAAATATTCATACGTCTACTATCGCATATCATTTGACAATCTTTTGTTATTTGTAATAGAGATTCGAAGAAATACCTTTATGGAGATTATTAATTTTTTTTCACTCTTGGTGAACATACGCATAAAACTTTTGAGTATCCATCATTTTTAGTGAGAATAGGTGCCATAGAGGGCTATTAATTATACACTTAAGATGTTTCCGGAATGATTTCTTCCTTCATAATAACCACTTACAAAGCTGTAACCGTCACTTCCGACACTTTATTATAAGACTTTCTGGGACATGTCGATTTGTCAGAACTGACAGTAAATTTACTTTGGTGAAAAAATTCGATCTTCATTTTCTGTCGAATCATTTTGTTTTCTCGTGAAAGTGTGCCTCTTTCAAATGATCAGTAATTATTTAGATTAGACTTTGCATTTTTCTTTTGTTCATAAAATGTGAAAAAAATAAATTTATAATTTTCCATTTCTCAATTAAGGTGAGAAAAATACATTTCAGGATCGTGCACTTTTTTTCTACTATAAAATTTGTAACAATTTCTTTCTTAGTTGAATTCTCCATTTAATTTTTTCATTTCGAATTTTTGACAACTTTTTCACTTTCGAATATTTAGAAATTATAATTAACATTTAATTGTATTGTTTTTGTAATATTTGCATATTTTCAATTCATTTTTTAATCAATTTTTCTTTATTATTACAGCTTGCTCTAGTCGTTTTTGTTTTGGCCATTGGGGCCACGGTATTTGCTCAGGATTATAGCCAACTCTTTGCTGGCTTTGGACCCTACCTTCGACTCTCTTCTGGAATGAGGGATCCAAGGTCGAACAGAGGTAAGTTACAAATTCGCAACAATTTTCATTTTTCTTTGCAAAAAATTACCTTAATTTTCATTTACATTCTCAGGCCTCGGATCGACTTTAAGGCGCAAAAAAGTCGATTCAAAGTACAAAAAAACAAAAGAAGTCAAAAAAGTAGTTAATTTTTTTTAAGTTATCACAAAAATTTGATTTTTAATTTCCTTGATTTCCAGAAAATCATTTTTAAATTTTTTCCTTATCCCATTAATAACGTCAATTATAACCTTTTGTAAAATTCAATTATTTTAAAATAATTTATTGATATTTTTAACATTTTTCTTCGAAAAGCAAGATTACTTTTAAAAATTCAAATAAAATTTTGTAAAACAAAACAATTTATTTCAATAATAAGAACGTAGTTTATTTTTAAAAATTACAACTGTAAGTCTTTGAAAATTAAATTATTGTCTACAATTTTCAACTAAAAGTTTTCTCTTAATAAAATATTTTCAATAATTTTTAAAAAGATTTTTGAGAATTTAATTATTGTAAAAGAGAAAATTCAATTGTTTTCAATTTTACTAAGAATAATACTATAAGAATTTTCAATTCAAATATTTTTTAGTTGAATAATAAATACTTCAAAAATTCAACTAATTTCAAACAAATTTGAATTGAAATTAATTTTTAATAATTTTCAAAAAGTTATTCGAGTATTCAATTATTTAAATACAAAAATCAAAATTTCTTTGAATAAAATCTGTACCTAAATTGTAACTTTTCATGTTTTCTAAAAAAAGATTTTAAGGTAAAAAAGAAAATTGAAATACTATTTACTTTAGATAAACTTCCCTGACTTTTCTGATTTTCCTATATTGACAATTTTCCTCTTCTATATTTTTTTATATATCACATTTTATGAAAAAATAAGAAAACTCGTAGGTATTTTTCAAAAACTGTCAAAAAAGTCATATTATCCGAGGCCTGAATTCTCATGGGAAAATATAAATTTTCTTTCAACTCAAATCTATTATTTTCTTCAATCACTAAACTCAATAACGAACCGTGTATAGAAATACGAAAATTTATCAACAAATTAAAAATTTCCACAATCGATTATTCACCAATTTTTTTTTTTTTTTTTTTTTACATTAGCATCGGAATTAAATTAAGAATGAAAAACTTTATTATTCGTCAAAAGTTGATCGATTTTGATTATCGTGAAACGTGCGGCACGAATTGCGCCTGACCGCGGCACCTTGGGAGACGTATTAATGTTTCGTATCATTTATGACAATGCAGGGACACAGAAATGAGAAAAGAACTTTTCCACCGTTAGTTTTTCAATAATATTTTTCCCTCCGTTTTTCCCCTCTCTCATTATAAAATGCTCGCGCAATATCGTGCGTGACTTCACTAAAGTATATTTATATTCAACATTATTCAATCATATATGTAAGCAACATCTCGCATAATCATAATATAAATTCCCAGGTTTATAAAAGTTCACAAAAGGGTTTTGACTACATCGCATTTATAAGAGAGACACACAAAACACACATTTATTATATGTATGTATATTCATATGACACGCGATAATTTCTGAGATTTTGACACGAATTCTATAAGAGGTATACTTTCTAAAAATATTTCGTCATTTTTTTTTTGCTGCTATTTATGCGATCAAACGATGAGATTTTTTTCGTATACAATTGTCATATTTTCGTTTTTTTACTCACTTTCGCTTTTGCATTTGAAAATCATAAAAGAAATTCCGAAATTGATAGTGATTATAATTTCTTAAATAATTTGTGTAGCATTTTTTTTTGAATTTTTTTCAAAAATACAAATTTGTATTTAATGTTATTTTACACAAAGAAAGAGAATATATTTGATTCTGACCCTACTAAATTATTTGTTTAAAACAAATGTACATTTATTTGTTTCAAACAAAAAATTATTTTGGTGATAAATAAAAATTTTATCTAACACTTAAATAAAATATATTTGGTTTAATTTTTAATACAACATTTCTCTGGGTGTAGTTAATGAAAAATAATAAAATTTACAGTAGAGTGTATTGTCAAATTTACTATCGACTGTATTGTAAATTTTACTTTAAATTAAACAGTCAATTTTTACTATACGTTGTGCAGTAAATATTAAAATTGAAAAACTTTACTAATTTGTAAACTGAAAATTTTACTGCAGATTCAAGAAGATAATTATTCTGTTTACTGCTTTTAGTACAAAACTAATAGACAAAAACGAAACTAAAACAAAAATTAATATTAACACTAAAAATATTTCGTAGTATATAAAATTATAGTTCAAAAAATAATTTTTACAATACAGTAAAAATAAAGTACAGTATACAAAATACAGTAAACAATAAAGTAAAAAATGCAATAAAGTATAGTAAAAATAAAAGCAGTAAAAATACAGCATAGTAAAAATTGAAATACATTAAGAATACAGTGTAGTAAAAAATGCAATAGAGTAAAAATACAGTATAGTAAAAAATAAACTACAGTAAAAATACAGTATAGTAAAAAATACAAAACAGTAAAAATACAGCATAGTAAAAAATACAAAACAGTAAAAATACAGCATAGTAAAAAATACAATACAGTATTGTAAAAAACACAATACAGTAAAAACATACAGTATAGTAAAAATCACAATACAGTAAAAATACAGTATGGTAAAAAATACAATACAGTAAAAATACAGTGGAGTAAAATATACAATACAGCAAAAATACAGTAAAGTAAAAAATGCAATACAGTAAAAAAGAAATAAACTAAAATCTTATTTACACTCAACTTTTTTTTACAACAGAAATGCAATAGATGGTATAGACAATACAATACGCGAAATAAAAGAAAATTGTTACAATATAGGGCAATGTGAAAGAATTTTTGTAATGTATAAGTGGGTGTATATAATATGTGAGATTAAATTATAACGCTTTTCTTATATATATATACGTTTGGCGAATTAGTCTTACTTCAATTGCAAAACATAACAGTGGAGCGCGCTACTACAGTTTTGCAAGAATTAGGAACATAATATAAAACAAACGCTTGTTCTACGTTCAAACGCAATCATTTATCGCTTGTAATTTGCTCCCATGTATGATTAACAACGGTTGTTTTGGGATTAATTGATGTTTGTATTTCCTGTGACTTTTACCCCTCTATATAATGTATATCAAAAAATTGTGAAATTTCATTTAGCCGAAAAATAAATTAATAATTTTTCATCTCTTTTTTTAATGCTCTATTTTTTAAAATAATGTTTCTATTTGTTTTTAGTTTAAAATTTTAATATTTAATTTCTTTTTACTTAAGTAACTGAAAAAGATTTTACTCTCATTAAAATTCTAACTTAGTAAGAATTAATACTCCCTGAATGTGAATTAGTAAACCTAATTAATCAAAAAACTACTGTAATTCAGATTTATGGAGTAGAAACTTTTACTAAATAGTAAATTTTAATGGACTTTTCACTATTAGTTAGGAAAAATGGTAATAGTAGATAATAATAATAATAATAATAATAATAATAATAATAATAATAATAAAATTAATAGTAATAAAATGTGGTAATTCGAATCCTTATCAAACATTTTGGAAGTATTTCCAACAGAGCGATTTTATACATTTCCGACGTGCGCTGCTTTCTTTCGCAATTGTTTTGTTTACTTATTGTTACTCTCATGACAAGGTGAACGTGAAAATTACGGAAGAAGACATAAAATGTTTGGAATCTGGCAGTAATTTATAATTCAACAAAACGTTTTCTATCTTGTGCCAGTAGTTTTATGAACAGCTATATTCAAACAATAAACATATGAATTGGTTTCACTTATAAATATAATATAATAACGAAACCGTTTTACCTTTTCTCGCTCTACAAATGGCAAATCGTGACAACGTCATTACTCAACGAATCAAATTGATTGTTTAGCCTTCATTTTAAATAATTATTATGACTATAACGATATAATTCAGCAATGAAATCTTTGAGTTCATTAAAATTGTTTAGACAGAAAACATGCTCGGTGTAAAATGCAAAATATGCTCATTAAATTATACAAACATTTCAGAGAAAGATGTACTGCATAATATACTCTTGAGACAAAATTAAAAAACTTATTTCGTTTTTATTTAATTAATAATTGAAAATGAACTAAAATAAAATCAAAGCAGAAAAAAAATTAATAAATAAAATTAAGATTGCGATGTACTGTCAAATTCTGAATAATTGATTTCGACACTATTTACCACACTAATAGGAAAGGAACCTTGCCCTTTCAAACACTCAACAAATAAATTTACAACACACATTTTATAATAATCCCAGCAAAAAAATAATTAATAGTCCAATAAAAATATATTGCCTTTAACAAATTTGCAATAAAACTTTCTACACTCTTGAACTTTAACCATTTCTTAAATACAATTAACAATCTAATAGTATACACTTTATTAATTGTCTCCTTAACAATAACTAAAAAAATATTCTATATTTATGATTAAAAAAAATATTATTCAACGATAATCACTAAAAAAAATTATTTAAAAATAATTAAAAATTTATTTAACGATTCACTTGACACAATAAAAAAATAGTTCTCAATATTATTATTATATTATTATCATTATTATCATCAGATTTATTATTATTATTATTATTATTATTGTTATTATTATTATTATTTTTATTACTGTTCTTTTTACATATATAGATAAAAATAGGTGTTACATTTTGCAAGCAACATTATTTGTATTTCCCAACAAACTTGGCACCTACCAATAAGATTAATGCAATAAATTCCTCCCGAAGAAGTTGTAAAACATTCATGTTTCTAGTTCAAGATCAAATGATTCAATGAATAGTGATTTAAATAATTAATTGAATCGCGTGATGAAGATTCAATAGATATCGGCGCGATAATATGACGATTAATGTTGAAATCTATTTGTAGAAGACATCATAATTATTATATTTAAAGAGAAAAAAAAAGAAATAAGATGAGAAGAATCTGATCTACGCAATAATAATATATGGCAATGACATAATTATATAGACGACATAATAAGAGAAGTATCTAAAGAAAATATGTTAAAGTTTCAAGATTTTTGCTCTTGAACTTCCGTCTATAGTTCCATTTTACGGTCTAATTATTATCCAACAGAAAACACGTCACTACAAAACCACGAAGAAATAATAATTCCAATTTATATGTATTGAATTTTAAGACACATATGATAAATTCAAATGTCTATTAATAATAGGAAACTAATGGAAATAAATTGTAACAATAAATTCTATTCAATGTGTCTAATGTAAAATGATACTTTTCATAACAATAACTGTACACATGAAATATTGCCAAAAGAATAATGAACTGTAGTCTGGATATTGAAATAATGATGAAATGCCAATTGCTCGAATTGGATTTTTATTTAAACGGCGACTTTAATGTATTTAAAAAAAATGGATTTCGCAAATATTGAAGCAGCTGCAGCTTTTAATGTATTAAATAAAAAAGAATTAATTTCATTAATTCTAATCATAACATAAATAAAAATCAATACTAGTAGTTACTATTAATAATGACTATCATTCATTTTAGTTACTACTAATAATAACTACGATTGATTTTCGTTATAATAACAAATATTAATTTTGGTTACTGTTAATAATGACTATCATTTATTTCAATAAGTATTAAATTATAACTACTATTAATTTCAGTTACTATTAATAACAACCATTTATTTTAGTTACTATTAGTAACAACCATTAATTTTAGTTACTACTAGCAACAATTCGCCCGCTAAAGCTCGCGGCTAACTTCTTACTGCCTTTTTTTAAAATAATATTAGCAATTTTAAAAATAGAATTTAAAAATTTTCTAATTAAAATTTTTGTTGAAAACACTAAAAAATTTAATTTTGGTGAAATTACAAATAATTGCAGAAATTCAATTTAAAAAAAAAAAATAAAATTCAACTATGTTCAAAACTTGAAAAAAATTCTCGTAAAAATCCCAATTATCTTTATAAATAACAAAATTCTTCTCCAAAGTTCAATTATTTTCAGAAATGTCAAAAAAATTCTCGTCCTAATTTCAATTATTTTCAAAAATAAAATGTATTTTTCTAATTTCAATGATTTTCAATATCTACTATTTTAATAAAATTTCCCAAAAAGAATTCAATTATTTAAAAAAAAATTAATAAAATTGTATGCAAACAGTTAATTATTTTCATAAATAATCAAAATTTCACAAAAATTCAATTATTTTCATAAATAATCAAAATATCACAAAAATTCAATTATTTTCATAAATAATAAAATTTTTTTAAGGAATTCAATTATTTTCATAAAAAATAATTGAAAATTCTAGAAAAGAATAATTGAATGAAAATGATGAAAATAATTTTGATGAAGTTACAGTAACAATATTCTTATGATATAAAATAATGATTTTATCTCTCGGTCATATCTTTAATTATTAGAAAACATGAAGAAATCGATCACTCCGAGTCTTTGACTCGAAGCAATCGATATCTTCATGTTTTATAACAATACTTTTATAAGTTGTTTAATTTAAAAAAGGGTTGAATTTGAAATTTTTTAATGTCTTAATTCCTGCGGAAAATCCTGTTCCAAAAATTAGGAATTAAAAATAGGAATTGTGCAAATATTTTTCTTCTTTTTCTAAAACAAAATAATAATTTTGTTAAAAAAATTGTGATTCATAAACAAAATAATGCAAAATAAATAAATTTTCTATTTCTTAATCACACAATTTTCTAATTTTGTTTAGAAGTAAGGAACAAAAATATGCATAATTTCAATTTGACAAAATATAATATTTCACGAAATTTTAGTCTTTTAATGAAAATATGTGAAAAAAATTCTGATGATTTCTATTTGTCATTACAATTTTGAATTAATTATAAAATAAAAATAATTATAACATAATAATAAAATATACAATCTATCTAAAGATAACAAAAAACAAAAGTATAAACAAAAGACAACTTCAGAGTGTTAGGGACAGAAAAAGTGAATGAATGGAAGAACATTCAAATTATTATTATAGTTAATTAATAATAACTACGATTGATTTTAGTTACTGATTACAACAAATATTAATTTTGGTTACTGTTTATAATTACTATAATTTATTTTAATTCAATTCGTATTAATATTAACAACAACCATTAATTTTAGTTACTATTAGTAACAACCATTAATTTTAGATACTATTAGTAACAACCATTAATTTTAGTTACTATTAATAACAACCATTAAGTTTAGTTACTATTGTTAACAACCATTAATTTTAGTTACTATTAATAACAACCATTAAGTTTAGTTACTATTAATAACAACCATTCATTTTGGTTATAATTGATAACAACCATTAAGTTCAGTTACTATTAATAACAACTAACAATTTTGGTTATTTTTTATAGTAGCTACCAATGATTTTTTAGTTACTATTATTAACTACCATTTATTTTACTTACTATTAATAACTACCATTAATTTTTGTTACTTTTAATATTAACAACCATTAATATTAGTTACCAAAAATTTAAATTATTTTAATTGCTTATGATCATCTTTAAATCTTAGTCAAATTTTGCTTATCATCTTAATAAGAAACAGTGAAAATTCAACCACTACTTTACATTAGTAAAAATGTTTACTTTAGTAAATTTTGCTAAATTATTTTATAGTTATAAATTTTTTTTTTACTAAAAGTTTAGAGTCTTAAAATGTTCGTAACAGTTGCAAACATTCGCATATTATTTATTTACAAAAAATTAGTATGTTTTTTGTTTGAATACAAAGCAAAATAAATGTGCATTAAAACATAATTTAAATTATTCTCACAATAACATTTTTTTGCATTTTATTAATTATAAAAAAGTTTTTAAGGAATAAAATAGTTTAATTTATCCACTTGAGAACGCCAAGGTCGCCACCGGGCGGCGAGAAATTGGATTTGGCAACTCAACTGCCATCTAGCGGTGACCTTGGCGTTCGCAGGTGGAAAGTAGCATCTCCATATTGAATCTCAAAATATTCGTCAATATTCGTAATTCTAATTTATAATCTTAGAATTAATTTCTTTACTAAATAAATTTATATTTAAACTTTCAGCTTAAAAAATAACACAATTAGTGGCTTTTTTTAACGAAATAAGTGTCAAAAAGTATCACTTGAGTCAGCCTTAAGTAATTAATTTAAAAAAAAATAATTATAGACACAGTTACGTAATTTAGAAGGAGGTTTCTTCTAATGTTCCTTTCTGTAACTAATCGGAGGGAGGGGGTCAAAAATAGACTAAAAACCTGTTACGTAATTTGTGACCAAATCCGTAACATTCCGTAAAGTAAATTTTATTTGGTATACCATAATAAAATTTACACTTTACGGAAGCAAAATTCAAGAATAAAGAGCAATCGATGTTTGTTAATTTAAAATTGCCAGTAGTTGAAACTATAGTGGTAATTGCAATCGAAAGTAGTGTAAATTAATGGTAGTTACAATAGCGACGACAGGTTCACTTAATTATAGTAACAACCAATTTGTATATAACCTTTTCTAATTCGAACTAATATATAATCGATCTTTCTCGACCCTGGAATCACGCGTTTATGATCATTGTGGATTAAGAACCATGAAGGTTGATTGTTGAACTCGATATTTCTTTTTTTTTTCGTTTCTCAATACTCATGAAATTCCATAGTAATTATATTCTAAATGTGAAGCTCAAGTAGAAAAATCAATGTTACGTGCGACTGTGGCGAGGAAATAACGCGCGCGGCAATAAAGCGAAGGGATAAAACCAGTTTCATTTGCGAATGTCGAGCAGTTTCATTTCGTCATTACTCAATATTATAAGAATTCAAACACGCCTATAAAAATACATACTTTTAGTTTGTAGATTACTTAATTAGATATAGTTTTATCTTTGATAAAAAAAAAGTGACATTTGATATACAAATTCGTTTGACGTTTGTAATTTTGTCTGGAAAAGTTGTATAAACTTGCTGTTAACTTATTTTTTGCTCGGGATTTTTGTATTTAATTTTTCTTTTCTTTTCACTAATTTTAATTATCAAATTAATAAGTCCTAAAAGTCCGATCTTTAAGTTAATTAAAAATTTAAACTCAAGAATATTAAAAAAATCTTCTTTTTTTTAGGTCCAGTTGTCTTTCCAGTGGGACCGGCATCGAATCCGGCGGAAACCAGTGGAGTAATAGTGGGTGCCAGCGGTTACGGATTTGTGCCACCAAATTCAGGTAAAGCAATTATTGGAAATCCAAAGCCCTGAGGAGCAAGAATTTGTCAAAAAAAAAAAAAACTCGAAAATGTAAATAAAACTGGACAAGCAAGACCTCCTTTTAAAACTGGATGGTCTGCGCACTCGCATCAGCACACGCAAAAAATAATAATAATAAAAACCTTCTTCACACACATGGACCCAATTTCCATCATCCTTACATATCTAACGTATTTCGATACTATTATAAAAAAAAACCCCATTTGTGTTCAATTAATTTATTAATCGAACAAAATAACTAATTTTTTTCTCTTATAAAATTCCGCTAAATTCAAAAAAAGAGGTGATTGTAATTTTGGGTATATTTATATATGTAAAAACAGGAATGAATGTTATTTTAAAATATGGTCTCAAAGGAAGCATGATTTTAGTCACTAATATTTAATTTATATTAAATATAATTTATGAATATTTATAAAATGGTGGATGAGATATAATTTCGAGCTGCTGGCAATTCGGAAAAATATTTTCTCCTTCTCCTTTTTCCTAATTGTATATGGACAATTTATAAATGTGTAAATGGTGATTCGAAAAAGAATTTTCTCCTTTTCCTTCTCCTTAATTGTATAAACAATTTATAAATGTGTAAATGTCGATTTGAAAAAGTATTTTCTTCTTTTCCTTCTCCTTAATTGTATAAACAATTTATAAATGTGTAAATGACTAATAAAATTTATGAATAGTGTACATAATAAAATTTGATTTTTTGTTTCCTTTCGGGAAATTTGAAAAAAGGGTATTGAATTGGTAAATATGATTTTCTTAATTCGACTTTCAAAAGGGATTTAAAAAATTCGAGAAGCTTCAAAGAAGGCCACTCGAGAGATTTTCGCAATTACTCCTTATGTTGAACCTTGATTCTAGAAAGTCGAGCAGACAATATACATTATACAACTGCATCTTTAATATACAACTTCCTGCTTTGTTTTCAAATTTTTGTGAATCGAATCGAACAATAAATAAATTAAATGAAAAATTATGTTAGACATACTTTCAAAATTTACAGTCAGCTTCGAATCGGAACTTCTAGAAAATTAGAGTTTCAACAATATGCAATATTCTAAAAAGAAAATTTCAACACCGAAATTATAACAAAGAAATTTTCAACACTGAAATCTTAACAAAGAAATTTTCAACAAAGAAAATTTTAACAGACATTTTAAAAAAAAGAAATATTTACACAAAAAAAATTGGCGTTGCAAACAGATTATTGGAAATTTCGGAAATAATTAAAAAATTTACTGTCAATTGTAAAAATGAAATTGAAATACAATATGAATAATACCTACTAGAAAATAAAAAATAACATCCTTAATCCTTTCCTCAAATACAAAAAAAAAGCATGATATCTTTTTTTATGGTGTGATAACTTTCGACAAAATCGATGCTCGATTTTGCGTGAAACTTCTCAAGTGTAGAGAAGTTGTAATTAACAAAATGCATATAACTGAATTTTATCGATTTGTAAATTAGCCTTTACTAACTGGAACAAACTAATATGGCGTGTTAAAACACCGATTCTCTGATTTTTTTTCTAATTCTTTTATAAAATTTAAACGAATCTTGTGGAATAGAAAGAAAAAAAAATGAACAAGATGTAAAAAAAAAATGTAAAGAATGTTTTGTATCAGGTTAAGTACTTATTGGTGAACGTGCGGCAAATGGTCCGTAAAATAGATTAATTGGAGCATCCATTCAATTATTATACTGGAAGTTATTGGTTTTTGCTATTGAAGTAAAGGTGAAATAAATTGATGTTGACCTTATCAAATTATTCAACTGTTCGAAATGAACGACAAATATTTCATCTAATTCAGGTTTTATATTTATTGCTAATTTCAACACATGACTGATTACTAATACGAATTTATAATTAAACTCTTACGACAGTCGAAGGTAAGTCAAATGCGAAGGCCCGACAGCATACGTGTAAAACTTGGAAGAAAAAAAAATTAAACTCATATCGAAAGGGAAATTCCTCTTTTGACAATCTCTCACATTTTTCCCCCACAGGAGGAATAATTTTTCAAACTTATTTATTTACTATATTTTTTATTATTTACTTATATTTATATTCTCAATTTTGAAAATGTTTCCTGTTTTAATATTTTTAATTTTTATACTTTGGGTAAACTTTGAACTATTTAAATTGATAAATTCACTTTCTATAATTATTTAAATTAAAGTTGTCCGAAATAATTGAGTATTGTTGCCAAAAATATTTAATTTTATTTTTCCCTGACTTTTTCCTGATTTCCAGACAAAATTTTCACTTTTTCCCTGACTCTAAAGAAAAAAGAATATTCTGATTCACTCTAAAAATTATTACTCAAAAAATGTTCTATTACGTTTATTTACAAGTTTCTTTAATTGTAAAATTATTAAAAAAACATCAATAACTTCTTTTTTAAATAAACATTTAATAATTATTATTTTTTTGTAGGAATTAAAATTCTTCAAAACCTTCAAATTCAAACCTTTTTGAAATTCTACAACTTATAAGAATATTATAACAAAACATGAAGAAGGCGATCATTCCGAGTCTTCGACTCGGAGTGATCGTCTTCTTCATGTTTTATATAATAATTTAAATTACCATAAAATTTTTCCAAAAAAAGTTAATTATTTACAAAAATCCTAATAAAATCCTTCGCAATAATTCAATTATTTTTACAAGTAGTACAATTTCTCAAAAAAATCCAATTATTTTAAAAAAATGTAATAAAATTAGTTGCAATAATTCAATTATTTTCATAAATAATAAATCGATTATTCGGTAATTCATTTTTAAATCAATTTTTATTAGAAAATTCTAGAAGAATTCAATTATTTAAATTAAAAAATAAATAATTTATTGAATAATTGAATGTTTGTTAAACTTGAATTCTCATAAAGGATTTTATCAACAAATTTTTAAATAATTGAATTATTTTGACAAATTTTAATAAAATTTTAAAGAATTTACATTTTTCGAGAAATTTGATTAAAATATTGTATCAAAAATAATTAAAATCCTGCGATGAGTTTTATTATTTATGAAAATAATTAAAATTTTCACAAGAATTTTATTAAAATTTAAAAAACAATTAATTTTGATAAAGAATTTTATTATTTCTTAAAACCATTGAATTCTTGCAACGAATTTTATTCAAGTTAATTGAATAATTGAATTTCGGTGAAGAATTTTATTATTTATAAAAATAATTGAATTCTTGAAAAGAACTTTGTTAAATTTTTTTAAATAATTTAATTCTTGCGACGAATTTTATAAAAATCTTTTTAAATAATTGATATTTTTCGAAAAATTTTATGAAATTTTGTATTTTAAATAATTGAATTCCTGTAAAAATTTTATTATTTATGAAAATAATTGTATTATTTCGAAGAAATTTATTGAAAATTTTGTAAATAATTGAATTCCTGTGAAATTTTATTAATATTTTTAAAAAAATTGAATTTTGATGAAGAATTTTATTATTTATAAAGATACTTGAAATTTTGACAAGAATTTTTTTTTTTAATTTTTGAACATAATTTAATTTCTGTTAAGAATTTTATTACTTTTGAAAATAATTTAATTCTTCCAACGAATTTTATTCAATTTTATAAAAATAACTGAATTTCTGTGAAGAATTTTATTATTTATATAAATAATTGAATTCTTGCAACCAATTTTAGTAAAGTTTATAAAAATAATTGAATTTCGGTGAAGAATTTTATTATTTATATAAATAATTAAATTCTTGCAACGAATTCTATTAAAGTTTATAAAAATAATTGAATTTTGGTGAAGAATTTTATTATTTACATAAATAATTGAATTCTTGCAACGAATTTTATTAAAGTTTAAAAAAGTAATTGAATTTTGGTGAAGAATTTTATTACTTATAGAAATAATTGAATTCTTGCGACGAATTTTATAAAAATCTTTTTAAATAATTGATATTTTTCGGAAAATTTTATGAAATTTTGTATTTTAAATAATTGAATTCCTGTGAAAATTTTATTACTTATGAAAATAATTGAATTATTTCGAAAAAAATTTATTAAAAATGTTGTAAATAATTGAATTCATGTGAAATTTTGCCAAGAATTTTACTAAAATTTTTTTAAATAATTGAATTTTGATAAAGAAATTTATTATTAATAAAGATAATTGAATTTTTTAAATATTTTTGGAAAATAATTGAAATTCTGCGAAGAATTTTTATAACTTTTGAAAATAATTGAATTTCTGGAATCATTTGTAACTTTTCCAAAGTTCAATTTTTTTTTAGTATTTTTATCTAAAATTCTTCTATGAATCTAGTATTTATGAAAATTGTAAAAATTATTCATTAAATAATTTATAAGTCATAATTTTATGATAGTTGTTGAAAAATTCAGAGTTTTCTCATGAATTTTAAAAATTCAATTTTTTCCAGTGGCAACCCTGATTGCACTCGTTCGAAATATTCGAATGGAAGTTATTCGAAATAATCGAATTGAAATTATTCCAAACAAAATAAAATTATCATTCGGTAAACTAATGATAAAGTAGAGAATAAAATTATTTTCTGTATATGTCAAGAGCATATCAAAATTGTTTTATACTTGACCAAAGAAAATCAGAGTTACAACTGTATTACTGATTTTCATGGACAATAATTTATCAAATGACCTTTTCGGTGAATTGCAAAAATAATATACAAAATGTGATTCAGAATGAATATTCAAGATAAAGGGTTACTTTATGCACAGACACATTTTTTTTTCTTCAGCTTAGAGAGGAAAGTCTTAATCTTCCATAGATACATGATCAATGAAATTATATAGCCTTGCTTGTGAATTGGATTTCCCATAATCTATGTAATCATTCGACACTTTCAACAGCAATGATACTGAAAACATTTAAAGAGTCATTAATTTTTATGAGACTAATGAAATGCAATTATTATCACGCCACTTTATTTCCCACCACATATTTAAAAAATGTGAAATAAAATTTTATTTTCAAAATGTAAACAAGTGCGTATAATTATTTCATAATTTATTATTTAAATAAATTGTAATTCATTAAAAATGGATTATAATTTTATTTATATAAAAAATAATTGCTGCCAATAGATTGTTAAATCAGGAAATTTTTTCAGTGATGAAAAAAGCATTGTTAGCGAATGAAAATTTGCAAAAACCCTGAAATACATTTGTGTTCTAACAAGAAAATATAGAGATCAATTATTTTTAATTGCCGCACATTAAGGAAGCGAGTTTTTCAAAACTCAATTTTAGGAATAAGTGTGTCAAGTTGAGACAAATATCCTGGCGAGACGAATTGAAATCCTTGATCGATTAAAGATCCTTGATTTTTCTTAGGATTTTTAATGAAATGTGTAAAAATTACCGCTATAACATGCGGTGGTTTTGAGGAAATTAATTTCGACCCCGAGATGAGGATTTAAACTTCCGTCTTCCGAAAGCAATTAAGATGACAAGTTAGTTACTCAGCGGATCAGAAACAGGTGTCTGTGAGATGAGAAGATTTAACCTTGATCCTTCAGAAGCATTTTGCCCCTGTCAGTCCTTATTCAGACTCATCACCTTCTCTCTCTCTCTCTCATTCTCTCTTTCAGTGAATATATATAGTGAAAGCGAATACTCTCTTCTTTCGGAGGCCTCGGTTCTTAAACTCGTTGACGCGTAACC